TTTTGCAAGGACTGTATTTCATGGTCTCCTGCCATATGAGGCCCATATCCACATGTTTGCAGTGATAAACAAACACTGATGTTAGACCCATTTCTACAGCTGTCATAATTAAGGCAGAGATAATAAAAAAAATACATTACATGTAGATGTATTAAAAACAATAAATATGATTGTATAATATCCATATATGTGCATTTCTTTACATAGATCATTTATGGTACATATTAAAAGGAAGTGACAAGGGGAGCGCTGATTGCGTGCAGGAGTCACAACAGGAATGAAGGATCTGCAGAACCTAAGCACGGGTGAAAGCTTTAGTCTGGGGTTTCTTTGCATAGGAGTAGTTTGACGGTAACCTGTCCCTCACTCGTGCCTGGCGCTGCCATAATACTTGTGACACCTCGTTTGTTCCAGAGAGAGAAATGTACAGCAAAGCGTCTTCAGGTGTCTTTGCTGAAGCTCCCCACACACGTGTGTGCTGAAGGGAGGAGGAAAACCTTCAAATGTAGCTGCTGGTTTGGATTCCCGGTGTCATGTACGACCCAACCCTACCTCAACACACCCCCCGCCTCCCTTAGCCCCCCCGAGACCCGACTGCCCACAATATAAAAAACATACACAGCATACAAAACAACACACTCTTTATGGAGGAATAAGGAACAACCAAATAACTTCCAGTTTCTGTTTAGAAGCTTAGAAATCTCAGCCAAAACAGCTCAAAGAGCCGAGGAAGACAGTCGGATGCTAAACGGCGACCAGTCTATGCTTCCTATAATGCAAAACACAGATCTGATCTAAGTGGAGGCTAATAGTTCTATTTATTTCATAATAACATTGATTTGTTTGGTTTTCTGTTCATTCCTCAGTAAAACTTTTACAGCAAATCGCAAGAATCTGTCAACTGTTTGCTGAAATTCAAACCTCCACCAACCGAATCAGCCTGGAAACATTATTCTGCTCCACTGCAACATCTTTAATGAAAACCCTGGGGTTCAGTTCTGCTTTCAGCCACCAGGTGTCAGTGTTTTCTATGTTGCAGGCTACCTACCTGGCAGTAAATGTTTAGTTTTTTTTATGGTTTTAGGCTGATTTGCAGGCAGACAAACACGCCTGCAGGTGCAGTCTGGACTACAGCTCATCATGTAACCGAGAGGACCAATAAAGACAAAGGAAATGAACACGTCCCTCATCATTTCTCATTTTCAGTCAGTAAGAGAATTACACTACAGCAGTGCAAAAACACAGACAGTGATGTTGGATTAAATCAAGACCTTAATGTGTTCCACTAGTTTAAAGTAGTTAGCTAATATAAAGCGTTTACAGCTCAACCTGTACGGAGGATGAGGTTCTCACTGCGGCCGAAGGCTACGACGTTATAAACCCTCTAAAATGCAGAGACAACGAATGAAGCCAGTCACAAAGATACTCCAGAAAACTGAATCCTCCTAATTTGCAATACATTCTCCAACTGCATATATGTATGCATCAAATTTCTGCTTTACCATCATTTATGTAGAAACAAGGGAAAATATAAACACACCCTTGTTAAATTCTCAGGATAAGGACATTAGGAAAGCCTTAATCTTCTCGGGAGCCCATGCAAAGCTTAGAGACCAGCTAAACAGCTCCCCATTTGATTCTGAAGACCTCTGATAACATATTTTATGCTAAAGACGATATGGTAGGGAGCTAAAACAATAGCTAAATGACATTAAAACAAAACAGATGATTTTTTGCAGCAGTGTCCGTATCATCAGGAGCAAACTGAGCTGGTTTGTCATAATATACAACAGCATCTCATACTAAAGGTCAAGCACGAAGGTGGAGGTATGATGGTTTGGGCTTCTCTTTATGCCAAATGACTCTTAGGTCAAATGTCAGAGGGGAATGTTCCAGACCTCAGTCAGATTGAAAACTAGAAGTGTGACCTTAGGTGAGATCCTTAGTAATAGCTATTCTACACAAACTGCGTGTGGAATTAGTGTTTAATAAAGAATAGCAGAAAGCCGTTTTTTATGCTCGTTCCTCTTAGGTTGCATGTTCCTGGTTAAAAGAGCTGTACAGACCAGGTTAGTTCCTGATGTATCAAACTTCAGAACTCTCTTTCTTTACCACGGCTCAAATAATTTAGTGTTAGTCTGGCGGTTTATCTACATCTACCCCTTAGGAAAAAGAAAAACCGCCATGGGATAAATGTGGTTCTTCCACATGGCAGCTTAGCCAGTTTCTATGTAACGCCAAGGAAGTAGGTTTACACACTAGAGTCCACTCCTTGTTCTTAGATAAAAGTTGTTTTTGTTGAAGATGGACTGAAACTAATTCATTCATACAAAACAATGTTGATACTCAGAGGTTTACTCATACTCATAATCTCCAATGATGTCATTATGATGTATTTTTTTAACTCGTTTGTTTGACCTGTGCAGAAATAAGAATTTAATGCAGAAAATAAATGAATTTATAATCTATTTTCTACGCAGTGCGACTTATATAGGCTGAGTCAAATATGTACATACACAAACATCCCATAGAACATTCGATTAAATGTTTCTCATAAAGTGGGAGAGAAACAATTAGAAGATCTAATAGAATTGATGGTAACTGATCGAATTAAAAGGTCATCGTGGACCTTTGGAGTCATTTTTGTTCCACTGTTGCTAGAGCACTTTTAGGAAATGTAAATATGAACAAAAAAGCAATCCAGAAATAAAAATTTATTTAAAAAAAATTATTTTATGTTTTTCTTTTAGAGATTTTATTTTTTCAAACTTTTTATCTTTTATTCCTCAAATTGAGTTTTACAGATCACATCCTCTGACCAGTAAAAACGCGTATACTAATGACCATGCAGACCAGTAGAAATGCGTCTTCACCCCTCGCTCCAGAAGAAAGCCCGCCCCCAGAACTAATAAGAATCTTTAAAAAGCAATCAGTGATTTTCTGATGCAATTTATTAAAAAACTCAATCAGAAAAAGTGAAACTGTCACTTCTCTAAATAAAAATAGGCTAAGATTTATCCTGAACTAGACTCAGCCTGTGATAGATGTAAACAGGAAGCTGCCAGCCTCTAATCATATGTTCTGGGCCTCCCTGAAACTCACCCATTTCTGGAAATCTATATTTGATGCTCTAGCCACTATCCTCCAATACCCACTAGAACCTTCTCCCCTGACTGCAATCTTTGGTGTCGTTCCAGCTGGAGCACATCTACATGCCACTATGTGGCTTCCTTACTATTACTGTTCAAATGGAAGGAGGCGTCCCCTCCTACTTATGCTCATTGGATTAAAGAGGTTATGCAGTCATTAAAACGAGGATCTACACTGGAAAAACGATCTAAAAATAAGTAGAAATGTCTTAAATTAAGTGTATTTATCCTTAATTTGAGAAGGTCATGAGATAGTTAGCCAATGGAATGAGGATTTTTACTCTTAAAAAAGGATAATTAGATAGAATGTAGTTGAAATAAGACAATGCAATTGTTTTTTTCTTATTTTAAATGTAAATTGTCTTGTACTATTGACGAAATGTGTCTTTTACCTCCTCAATCCAAGAACAAATACACTTATTTGAAGAAAAAAAAAAAACTTTTTTTGGTGGCGCAGCGGTTAGCTGTCGAAAAAGTGAGCCACTAGTGCCGCAAAAAGAAAAAGAAAAAAAAGGATCCAGATTACGATTTTTTCCAGTGTATATCCAAATTTTATTTAACTTTGCAACCATTTCTAAACTTTGTAGAGAAATTAAATGCTTGATGAATTACTCGTTAAAAATAAACTTTAACCTTAACCTCCCCCTTTTTTTTTTTCTTTATTCTTTATTAATCTATCCTCTTTATTTATTATTCTTCTATTATTTCTTTTTATTTTACTCTATTTTTACTTTGGGTTATACCCTCTCCTGAATGACACTGGGCGGGGTAATAATTACAGTAATGTAATAATTACAGTAATTATTCTAGAATTTGTTTATACTGAAAGATATAAACAAAGATACTGAAAATAAAATAAACCTTGTTTGTTAAAAAATTAAGAAAAAATGAAACTGGCAAAGTTAAGTTTCATTCTGGATTGCATTTTTTTCCATTTGTTTGCTCACATCAATGAAACAAAATGAATTCACACACATGGGTAAATGGACTACATTCTGTATCGCACAGCAAAGCTGGTTTTTGAACTAAAAAAGAAGGCTAACATCAGTCTGGAAATGCCTTGACCTCTGACCTGTTGAAAATGTATAGGTAATGAACTTAAGGAACTTCTGTGCATGGAAATGCAACCCTTATATAAGCTCTACCAATCCTGGAAGAAAACAAACTCATCAGATTTATGAAATACAATAAACAAAGCAGGTAGCTTCTTCACCACTTGCTAACAAACCAAATGCTACTGGGGATATATGTGGGATTTTGTCTCTAAATCCTTCTATAACTTATTATTTTTCCGGTTTTGTAAATTCACTGAATGTATCAAAAATAATGGCTCTAAAAATACTATGGTATAATAATAATGAGTGTGTGTACACTTCAGGGTTTATAAGATAAAACATAATGCAGTGGAAACACGGAAATTTTAGTGTGTCATTTTGTGTTTAAACAGTTGTATCTTTCATTGATTTGAGCAGGTAAGTGAGGCAATTTTCTAATTACATAATATCTGTCTTTTAAATAAGTGAAAATAACTTCATTAGCTCATTTTAAGTGCATAATAGCTAATTATCCTATTTTAATGGTGAAAGCACTTATTCTGTAGGTAAAGTATCTAATCAGCCCCTTATTTAAGAGGATTTTGTTATTCTTATCTATAAAAGTGGCCAAATGAGAACAATCATCTGTCATATTTTGGCAAATGAGGCCCGAGGAGAAGAAGGCAAAAGTCCAGGTGACAAACACTCACCCAACGTTTGTTCCAGCTCTTTGTAGACGGGTTCAACGCTCAGTGCAACTCTGGTTGGTTTGAAAAAATAAAAACTTCATACATGCACTCATACTCACACGCACACAGCAATAAAACCACTAAATCTGACATCCGGCAGTAACAGGTTCAAGAAGCATATGCTGGAGGGGGGGAGGAAGGGAGGTGGGGGGGAGGCAGGGGAGTTTAGCTGCCCTGTATGCAATGCGCACGTTACAACTGTGTTTAAATACAAATAAAAAAAAGAGAAGGCCTTCAAAGTTCTGATGGTCTGTGACCAGATATTTCCACGGAGACCATCCGGCCTCCGGAAACCGCCGTCATCATCAGGAGAACAAGCCGCTCCTCTCCATAAAGCCATCAGAGTATCCAGAGGGTAGCTCCATATAAAGGCGACTGCTCTACTTGTTTCCAGACTGAGATGAATAGATCTACATATACAAAGTCTATATTACAAAGCTTCCAATAAACTGCATTTCCCTGCACTGACATCAGCTGAAAAGCTGCCCCCCCCCTCTCTGGGTCATTGTGGCCTTTAAAAGGGCGGGGTAAACGGGTTAACTCCAACCTTTGCTCCTTTCCTTCTGATTAAACGACACAGATAAGGGTGAAGGGCTTTTCCTCCTCTTTTTCGCTGCTCTTATATGTAACAATGTTTAGAATGACATCAACTATCAAGGTAAACTTTAAACCTCTAGAGAACGAGCGAAAAACTGAAATAGCAAAAGGTGCTCCGTAATGTACACATGGGAACACAGCTGCATTATTAAGTGCCTTGACTGTCAGTCTGCGCTTCGCCGTGATCACCAGCCCCGCAAGGCAGAACCTCTGTTTCTTTAGCTTCCGTTTTGCCTTCAGAAAGGTGGGAGCAGCTTCTGATGGAGGAAGGCCAAGTTGGAATGATGCCCGACCTGTACGAGGAAGGCTGCTGGGTGTCGGTTAAAGACGAGGACGTGTGTCCTCTGCTGGTTGGAGAGGCGGCGGGGGAAGGGGAGAGGGGCGGGCGGCTCGTTGGACTCTTAGTAGCGGTGCGTCTGGTGGGAGTACTGGGAGCTCTGCTGGGATGATGAGGAGTATCCCATGGTACTCTGAGACTGAGTGGAGCCTTGGACGTTGCTTTGGTAACCAAGCCTGGAGCTGGAGTGCTGGAGACAAACAGAAGAATAAAAACAGAGTTAACTTCTTTAAATCCCCTCCTGTATACAGAAACGTTAAACTCTGAGTTTAAAGCTTTTGGTCCGTTTGATATTTTATTTGAAAAAAAAACATAAGGAGGTGCAGTTTTTGTAAGTGAGATTTGTCTTCCTGTAAAAATTCAAAAAATATCTACTGGACTTGGTTTTCAAAGTTTTGAAGACGTTTCGCCACCTCTCCAGGAAGCTTTCTCAATTCCTAAGCAATGATGTTCTGCAGGGATGTCTGTTCGGACACATATTCTTTTAAATTTAACCTCAGATTATAAGGCAAATAGGGCTGAACAGTGGAGCAGTAGAACTGCTGCCTTGCAGCAAGAATTTTCTGGGTTTGATTCCTGGCCCGGGGTCTTTCTGCATGGAGTTTGCATGTTCTCCCTGAGCATGCGTGGGTTCTCTCCGGGTACTCCAGCTTCCTCCTACAGTCCAAAAACATGACTGTTAAACAGCTTCTCTAAATTCTCCTTAGGTGTGAGTGTTTGTGTGAATGGTTGTTTGTCCTAATTGTGTCACGGTCTTGGAGTTTTCAGTTTCACTTTGATCCATGTTTTTCTTTGTTTTCTAGTTTTATTGGTTTAATTCCTATTTCGTGGTGCTTTCTGGATATAGTTGAGTTCTTAGGTTTTTCTGTTGCCCTCTTGTGTTGGTCTCATTTTCCCCAGCTCCTTAGAGTCTTCTCTTCACACCTGCTCCCAATCAGCTCATTAGTCCTGTTTTTGTTCTGTCTCCCATATAAACTCTCCTGTGCAGTTCCTCAGTGCAGGTTCATCTTTTCCTGGCTCCTCATGTATGTTTTCCCTGATATCTCCAAGGTTCTGTTTTTTTCTGTATTTGTTATGTTGGAGTTTTGGATTCCTGCCTTAGTTGCCTGTCAGTACCTTATCTACTCTGCATTTGGGTCCTCAAAACTTCAACCCAACTGTGACAGTTTGTCTCTGTGTTCTCCTGCGATGGACTGGCGACCTGTCCAGGGATGCCACCGCCTCTCGCCCACAGACAGTTGGAGGTAGGCACCAGCACCCATTGCTACCCCACTTGGGATAAGTGTGACGGAAAATGGATGGATGGAGTATAAGGTAAATAAAAAGTCCTATTTTTAATGGTGAAGTCAAAGGACAGACTGACTTTCCTTTTCTGCTTGTCTGAGATCAGCATTCCTGTCATTTTTTTTCCCCCAGTCACTTCTAAAGTTTCCAATAGAAACGTATTAATATCATATACCTGAACCGGCTCAGTTGCCTTATAAAGAGAAATGGGGCGGAGGTGTTCGACCTGTTTCTAAGGCCCAGTTCAGGTGAGATGCCCTCTAGTTTAAAGCTTGCTGGGCCCTGCTGTGTTGATCATGGGGGATAGTATTACAGGTTGAAAGATAGTTATAGGATATTTCTCTGGTTTAATGCTGTCGAATGAAATCTCCATTTGCCGAAGCCTATCCCTGCAATCAACGGGCTGAAAGCCTGGTTTAAATTCATCGTATCTCTCATATATTTTGCTTTATCAACCTCTTCTATGATCTTAGCCTGAAAATAGTTTTTAAAAAAGCTGCCAGCCTTCCTAGGAGCTTGTTCTTAAATAGATTGCTTCTCTTTAAAGGAAATTGTTCCTCATGATAATCCATAAATATATTCCACCCTGAATTGATCATGTTACACTCCCTCTGCCATGTAGCTACCTGCTAATTTACTTAATTTGCAATTCTTATAAATCACAGCCAAAAACGTGGATCTATATGCAGATGTGGAGACTGAGCACAAAGCTTCCTCACAGCCAGGGTAGCCACACACTGCTGGAAACTAATATGTGTTTTGCAAAGTCACAACCTTCTCTCACTATTCTAACAACTAAATAGAGAAGATGGGCTGGACTTAAACACTCGTATGTTTGTCCTTATCTTATCCCTACAAAGTGTTTCCACATGCTGTGGCTACTGTCTGGACTGTTGATTTAGATGTCAGCCAATAGAAAACAAGGTCAGATTCCTTGTTATATCACCCTTTACCCCCATCAACCCTTCTGTAAACTCTAACCAGTCGCTTAAGCTCCTGTCACAGCTTGACTATTTAGACCAGTGTATGGCTGACGTACAAAAAATCTGGCAAAAATGCTGGCATACGTTATCGGTACGTTTTGTATAAGTTATGAGTACACTGAAACACGCTAGCACACATCGAAATACGGCGAGTACATCGAGAAATTTTGACCGTGCTCAGAATTTCCTGCCATATGCCAGCGTATGCCATACATGGGGCCATAAGTTCCAGGTCAGTTATCTGATGGTTGACATACGGTAAGTATAAGTTACTCATAAGTCGTGGCGTCTGGCTTATCCAAAACCTATGTGTAACTTCTGCGTAACTCATTAAGAACTTCTGTGTTTCTAACTTCCAGCTACTGTATAATGGTGTATTGGAAGCGTTTTTGGTATAAAGGAGGTTCACAGGAGGAAACCGTCACTTCTCCTTCATCGCCATCATAGGGTGAGGGAGAAGGTGAGGGTGATGGATCCCCCCTGTGTTCACGACCACCACCAACACACTTCCTAGCAGACATGACGCTCAATCTGCTGTGACTGCAAACCTTCTTTCTTTTTACTTTTTATTTATTTTTGTTTTTTATTCTTTCTTTTGTGAGCGGGTGGTAAACAGCAGCTGGGTTAATACTGCGATCAAAGGCATCTTTTTATGCAGATTGGGCGCCTCCAGGCGCATTGCTGCTCCTGAGGGGAGCAGCTTTAACTGATGCTTGCTCATCATTTCATGGGCATGACGCTCTGGGCTCTTTATAAATGCTCTACTTATACGCCCAAAATAGAAAAAAGCGCATGTTAGAGTTTTAGGAGATTCTGGGACGTCGGGCATATGCTGGCTAAATCGGCAAGGTGGGACAGGGGCCTTATAATTGCTGAAGAGAAGCATCTCCACATCATGATGCTGCCACCACCTACTTGCTTGCTGGGGATGTTCTGTTCAGTATTTTTTAAATGCTTAAAGTCTAAAAAAACGTCTGGTCTGATCTGACTGGATTGCTGTTTCATCGTCATGGTCGATGCCAAACAGGACGTCATCGGTACGTTGGGATTATACCAATCAAGAAGTATAGCCCCATATGGTCCTATCGGCTGGGAGGTGGAACTCTGCAGCTCCTCCAGACCTTCTAACATGTCTGGTGTTTTTATTCTGTTAGTAGGAACCCTCCTGAGGTCAAGGGAAGGAGGCAGAAGGTATTTGTGAGGAATTAGAAATTAGAGGTGCAATGAGAACCAGATGCTAAAAACAGAGACGCTGCTCTGCTGCTGTCCTGCTGTCTCTGCAAACGGGGAGAGCTTGGTGAAGGCTGCCATGTTAACATCTGCTCATCCTTATGGTGAGTTTGATTAAATGAATTCCAGAGAAGCTAAAGACTTTTATTTCCCTTCTGTTTGACCCAGGAGGACTGATGAAACTCCAACACTTTGCCCCCATCAGCGGCTGTTTATGACAGGAGCTGTTGCTCTTATCATCTTCTCACTGACAGAGAGGAGGGTGAGGCCAGCGATACAACAGGCTGAAAACAGTGGCTCCGTCAGCAGGACGGATCTTATCAGCTGCTGCCGTCTGCTGCGTCAGTGTCTGCCTCTCTGGAGGCTGCTGGTTCTGCTCCTGGCCTTCATGATCGGCTCATGAAGCAGAGACTAACCAGAACCTCTGCTGATGTTCAGCCTGAAGGGACAGATGACGGTTTTCCCTAAAAGTGTCGCTGAACTTCATGTTTAAACGCCTCAATGATTTAAAAACGGCAAACGGTGCGTTCACTCAGCAGAGAATAGGTAGGATCAATGAGTCTCTGTTTTTTTGTTGCACCTGGGCTAAAACACACCTGATACTCTGACTGTAACACTCCGGTTCCTGAGGAGGCTCCAGAGGGCCCGATCCGAGGTTTCTTGTTGGGTGGGCCCTGATCCTGACCGTGCTGCATTCCTCCTCCTGTGTTGGCCCCCGTGGCTCCGTTGGTTTGAGCCGAGCTCTGCTGGGAGGGGGCCTGCTGGGCCGCCGCCTGCTGCTGGGTCTGGGTCTGGTTCTGGCCTATCGTCTGCTGGTGCTGCTGGGTCTGGTTCTGCAGTAAAGGAGGAGAGGGGTAGAGGTGAGAAAGGCTTTCCTGCTTAACATTAATCTGTTTTTATCTTTTTGTTCATCATGCTTCAAATCATTTCTCTTTTTTTTGCCTCTGAGCGAAGCGCTGCACCAGACCTGCGTCTGTTTTCTAGTCTGCTGAATATGATGCTTCATAAAACTATCTCCCCTTCAGACGACATGCAGCGGTCAGCTTGGATGGAAGGTGCCTCTTCAGCTGCAACCTCCTGCCGCATGCACAGAGCACAGCTGCCTTTGGCAAAGTCACAGCTAAATCCATGCAGTGATTTATTACGCCGTAAAAATAACTGAAAGGGAAGAAGAGGGACTGCAGATTATTACAGGCTGCAGATTTCTACCCACCCATCCTGCTACAGCAGAATATGTATCATAACAAAATCCTCCTTCTCACATATAAAGCCTTAAATGGCCAAGCTCCATCTTATATCAGAGATCTGATTGTTCCTTATGTTCCTAACAGAGCACTTCGCTCTCAATCTGCAGGTTTACTAGTGGTTCCTAGAATTTCTAAAAGTAGAATGGGAGGCAGATCTTTTAGTTATCAGGCTCCTCTCCTGTGGAACCAACTACCAGTTTTAGTCCGTGAGGCAGACACCCTGTCTACTTTTAAGGCTAGGCTTAAAACTTTCCTTTTTGATAAAGTTTATAGTTAGAGTGGCTCAGGTTATCCTGAGCTATCTCTATAGTTATGCTGCTATAGGCTTAGACTGCTGGAGGACATAGGGACCCCCCCATTTCATCATTCTGCTTCATTCTATCTCTATTCTCCCACTCTGCAGAATCTGTTAGTTCAATCTCTAACGTTCTGCTCTCTCTGCTTTTTCTCATAGTAGCTTCATCTGGTCTGTTCCTGTTTGGCTGTGACTCCACCCTGGTGAGAAATATCAGCTGTGCTGCTGCCATCAACACCTTTGTTTATAGATGTTGGAGATCAGCCTGTTTTTCAGTGTAGTCCTGTTTCTCTGACTGTGACTTGCTGGATGTGCTCTCTTCATCCTCTGACATGGGAGCTGGCTCGGAGATCGTCTGCCTGGCTGTGTGTTTCCTGGACGGGGCTGCCTTTTACAGCTGCTTTTTATATCTCTACTTATGTCTCCTTAAACTGCAGTCGGCCTCGGCTGATGGCCGAGAGCCATCTGCTGGAGGTTTCTTCCTGTTAAAAGGGAGTTTTTCCTCTCCACTGTCGCTACAAGCATGCTTAGTGTGAGGGATTGCCTTCCAGTCAATGAGTCGATGCAATCAACTGGTTTTCCTTAGATAGAAAACTTTAAATCAATCTGACTGGATGATCCGGTGAACTGGAAAGTGCCTTGAGATGACGTGTTGTGAATTGGTGCAATATATATGTATATATATATATATATATATATATACTGAATTGAATTAATCTATAGAGGTAAAACCGTGCTGTTACGGCAGGCATCCACACACATCTGCTACTTTAAAAGCATTGATCCTGCTGTAAATGGATTAAACCATTGAAGCCTGCAAATTTCAACAAAGCTTCATTGATCTGGAATCAGCTGGCAAAAAAAGCAAAAAGAAAAGTCTGAAGTAGGTTAAAACAAAGTAGAAGTCGGACATTTTCATAGGCTTAATTTACTCTTTTCTGAAAGTTTGAGGAGAAGAATGAAGCTACGCGTTCAATAGGCTACAGCGAAGCATCATAACAGACCAATCAGAGGTCAGTAAAGTGCAGGAATGTTTTTAGGAATTTTAACATGTCCTCATTGGACCACAGCTATAAACAATCTGTTAATTAGCAAGGATTATTAACAGATTACTGAATAACTGATATATGTTACGCCTTAAAGAGAGAGTGTTTTTTATCTCTCAACATTAACGGTTGGATTTTGTAAAAATGTTCAGTCCTTTCTGTTGCAGGATCACTGCGTTTATAATCCACTCACTGCATGTCTGTCAGTTTGAGGATCTGGACTTTGAATCTTTTTCACTTTATTGTAGATTTGTGGTCCAGTTTCCAAAGTTAAACTTTGTCAAAGATTTATGTTTCTTAAATTGAGACATTTTTATTCTATAAATGGAAGTAGAAACAGAAATGTTTTAAAATGTCTGGCTGCTCCTTTCCCCCTAAAGTTCAATAAAAGCGTTGAACTGAAAAAATAAAAACCAGGTGGAATAGAAGAAGTCTCCAGTTTATACTCCAGGTGTCGGTAGTGGCCAGGCTATATGATGAACACCTCCCATGATTCTCTGTAATGACATAACAGCCGTGGATCTGTGTGGATCGGTACCTTGTCCGTTTTCTCCTCAGGTTCATCCTCATTCAGAAACTCCCTCTTTGGGTAGGGGATCTGACAGCCAGCAAACACGCTGCAGAAAAGGCAGATCAAACCATGAAGCATGAAGCAAGCTGCACCAACATGCAGAGTTAATGTAATGGAGGGACGGTGCAATCTATCAGTGTTTTTTTTTTTTGTTGATTCTTTTATTCAAACTGAAATGATCTCTTAAAATTAGAGGGAAATTGAAGAGCACTCTTTTTTTTCTACAAAATTAAATATGAAAATAAAAGATACTGAGTGAATCATTTTTTTTAAATGGGGTCTGGAGAAATGGTAGTTTTATAGAGCCAATAAACAAACCCAGGAGCATCACAGCAAGCTCTTCAGTAAGGAACCTTCTGTGGTATAATCCCCTTCCACACTTTGATGATTTAGACGGCGTATGCCTGACGTACGGAAAATCTGGCCAAAACGTTGGCATATGTTGGATAAGTTATGGGTACTTTACTGTGCTAATAACTTATTACTTAGTATGCTGAAACACGCTGGCACATGCCAACATACGGCGAGGACATCAGGAAATTCTGAGCATGTTAAAAATTTCCTGATGTATGCCAGCGTAAGTTCCAGATCAGTTATCTGATGGTTGACATACGTTAAGTGTCAGTTACTCATAAGATGCGCCGTCTAGCTTAATCAAAACCTATGAGTAACTTATGCATAACTTCTGCGTAACTTATCAAGACCTCTCTCCAACGCATATCAATGTGTTTGATGTTTTCCAGGTGAGCATTGAACGTGTTTCTAACTTCCAGCTACTGTATAATGGTGTATTGGCAGCGTTTCGGTTCACAGGAGGAAACCGTCAGTTCTCCTCCAGACTTCATCCCCATCATAGGGTGAGCCAGAAGGTGAGCGTAATAAGTTCACGCCCACCACCAGCAAACCTTCTAGCAGGCATGATGATGATGATCTCCTGCGACTGAAAACCTTCTTTCTTTCTTTTCCTGTTCATTTATTCTTTTTTGGGGATGGATGGTAACCAGCAGCTAGGTTAATACTGCAACAGGGTTTCAACAGGGTTTGTATTTTCCAACAATGAGCTCAAACATATATTTATTCAATGCTTTCCTATTGTGGAGACCACAAAAGAACCAAAATACACTGATATTTATATTTATAGGTAGCTAGACATTAATGTATAACAAAAAAAAGGATGAATAGCAGCCGATTCTGATGCCAACAGGAATATATCATGTCTCCCTAGTATGGACACAATTTAAGTTTCATTCATCCATCAATCCATCAAGAAAAATGTGGATTGACTGATGGATGTTTTTTCCCTTTCATGCCCATGACAGATGCACAAGCATCATGTCATGGGCATTACGCTGCTGTGCATTATGCACAAGTTAGGCTGTCATTCTACATAAGTTCTGGGCTCATTATGAAAACCCCCAAAATTGAAAAAATACATAGAAATGTTAGCGTATGCCAGAGTTTTAGGAGATTCTGGGACATCTGGTATACGCTGGCTAAATCAGCAAAGTGTGACAGGGCCCTATGGTAGCATGAGAAATCAGAGCAGTAACCATCTGTGACAAACTGCTAATAAGCAGGCGGATTAATAAATGTTAAGACATGAACTGGCTGCCTCAAATTACTAATAAACATGTAACGTTTTATAAGTGTTAATGGGTTTATTGTAAAAAAAAAAGGAAGTATAAAATGACTAATTAATTTATCCAGTGTGAGAATCATTTAAAACCCTGAACTGCAAAAGCTCTGAGTACAGAGGCCTTGCCGGTTCAGAGTGATGCTGCCCCTATTCTCCTACGCTTTCCGTTCTGCTCTGATCAGACAAACCTTATGATAAGAGCAAAAAAACAATCACAGATTGTTCCACTACTGTTGTTCCTACCAAGTCTGATAAATTATCTAAGCTGCAAAATAATCTCCTTCCTCTTGGATTATTTCTTTATGCTGATGAGCTGCATCAGGACATTTTGCAGTACATTGTTCTGAAGTAGATTACAGTTTGATGGGACATATTCACCCAAATAAAAAATGTTATTGGCTTTATTACTAAACTGATTTTATTCTTTTATTAAAGCCCAAAACGAAATAAAAAATTTATTTATTTGCTCTTTTTCCATTTTTTTAACACTTTTTATTTAGTAGTGAGATTATAATTAAAATGTTCTTTTATTTTTATGAAATGAGTTTCAAAATAAACCAAAAAAATGTTTATTATTGGGTTTTTTGTCAGTTTAAATGAACTATTTTTATTTTTTTTAAATGAGTTTCAAAATAAATCAAAAAATGTTTATTATTGTTTTTTTGTCATTTTTTGTCATTTTTTACATTTAAATAAAGTTAAATAGGTTTTGAACGACTCACTCTGTTGTTGGTAAAGGCTCCTCCAGGAAGTAGGGGTCCTGCAGCGCCTGCTCTGAGGTGATCCGTTTGGTGGGGTCCATGGTGAGGAGTTTTTGGAGCTGGGGGCAAAAGGACAAAATGTTCCTACATCCCCGGGTGACAGTGAAAGCACCAGAAAGTGGCGACACTCTGGAATAATCCATCACAGTCACTACATCTAAACCATCTTCAGTTAAAAACAACTACAAATATTTAGCTTCACTTATGAATAGATTTAAGTTGATCGGATTAGATTCATAGGTTTATGTAAAACTGATTATCATACAAGTTTGGATCAGAGAAAATCCATAATAAATAGTTTTTAAAACTGATGAAGAGCTTTCTTTAGGCTGGGTCACAGTTGGCTGAAGGATTCTGTTTGCTAGTTTCCTCTAAACCGCAGGACGTGTTCTTACCAAGAGGAACACTTTGCTGTCTGGCTTCACTTTATGCTTCTCCATGTACTTGATTAAGCTGCTGTTTGCATACCTGTGAGGACAAAAACAAAGGTTCCATATCTGAAACTTTGCTGATAAGGTTCTTGATCTTCTGAGGTTTCACTCACGTTGTCCTCCTGAAGTCCTTCTGCAGCGTGGGATACTCTGGCATCTTTCTGATGTCCTCCCAGTCTTTATCTACAGATGAGACACAGAGCAAACACTGATATTCTATCTTCTAGGGTCAGAATTTATTATCAGAGCAATTCAATCCAAAGCTACTGAAAGATAAAGCAGCAGTGAGGACAATGTGATTTATGTGCAGACCTGCAGGGAAACCCATCACGCTGAATATTCTGTCCAGCTGGTCATGGTGGAAGGGGTTACTGGTCTTGATGTCCTCTTGGCGACAGTGGAAGATGGGCTCTGATGTGAGCAGCTCCGCAAAGATGCAACCAATTGCCCAGATATCTGATACAAACAAAAACACTGTTTTAAAAAAAAAAATACTTTCTTGCTTGGGCCTTTTAAAGGAAAAGTCCTGTCACATTCAGTATACAAACTTCCTTTCCTTTAATTAGACGTCACATGTAAAGCTAAATTTAATAATAAAAGGTCTTAAAAGGTATCAGAGAATCTGGGACAGTGACTGGTGTTTTGTTCTGACTGTGTTGCTGTTGAATTGAAGGTTTCTTTATCCGTAATTGTTTAAGTCCAAACCCCTGAAACAGTCTTTCCTAGTCTTGATACTTTTTTTAACTTCTGATTTTTTCCAGTAGGTGGCGATAATATCCAAATTAACAACACCCATCCAAGCTCCTGATTAAGTTTGAAGCAACTTCTTGCTGAAGATTTTTCTAAAAATGTTAGAGTTTACTTTCACACAGTGAATAATTACCAAATTATAAAAAAGAAAAAACTAAAATGTGTAAAATTTGATTTATTGATGAGATGCAACAGTTTTTTCTCCTCCCAGCTTCTCTCTCTAGGTTGCAAAGGGGGGCAGTGGGCTCCCCCTGTCCACCCGTCAGTACCACCCCTGTTTAAGCCTCAAATAGACAAGCAGACACCGATTCAAACCTCACGGCTGCTTCACGTCAGCTCAGTCAGACTCACCGATAGCTTTGGTGTAGTGTCGGGCCCCAAGGAGCAGCTCGGGGGCCCGGTACCAGAACGTCACCACCACAGGGTCGAGGTCCGCCAGCGGCTTCAGGGGAGAGTTGAAGAGTCTGGCGAATCCCATATCAGCTGCAGAGAAAAGACACGATGCTCAGCAAACAAAGAGCTTATCTGAGGACGAGGAGCGCAGTGAAGGATGCTGTCAGGGTCAAAGGTCGTGTCATGTGATCTACTGAGATTGTTAAACAGTGCAGATGTTCCCTGCGACCTCTCTCTCCATCAGATTAGCTTCTAGGTTTATAGACATCTCCTTAAAATGTTGAATAACAGACCATATAAGGGAGAGGTACACTGAAAAACTGGCTAATGGCCTTTAATCAGCCTGAAAAAACAACTTCTTTGTTTTGGGCTTTATTAATTTTCAGATGTGAAATCTGAAAAACTATGACGGACTATTAGGGCCAGGCTAGAGTTCTATTTTTTATATTTCGAGAATAAAGTTGTCATATTCTGAGAACAAAGTAGTGAAATTATTACAATAAAGTGTTATATTACGGGAATTAAGTCGTAACATTAGGAGAATAAAGTCGTAACATTAGGAGAATAAAGTCGTAACATTAGGAGAATAAAGTCGTAAAATTACGAGAATAAAGTCGTAACATTACGAGAATAAAGTCGTAACATTAGGAGAATAAAGTCGTAAAATTACGAGCATAAAGTCGTAACATTACGAGAATAAAGTTGTAAAATGATTAGAATAAAGTCGTAAAATGATTAGAAAAAAGTCGTAAAATGATAAGAATAAAGCCGTAACATTACGAGAATAAAGTCGTAACATTACGAGAATAAAGTTGTAAAATGATAAGAATAAAGTCGTAACATTACGAGAATAAAGTTGTAAAATGATAAGAATAAAGTCGTAACATTACGAGAATAAAGCTGTAACATTACGAGAATAAAGTCGTAATGTTACGAGAATAAAGGCGTAATATTAAGAGAATGAAGTCATCATACAACAACCAGTTTCAGAAAGAAAGTTTCGAGCTCCGACCAGCAGATGACGGCCAATCAGCAGCCTGATTCCACTTTGCCCTACTGGCCAATTTGATGCTGGTGCTAAAAGATTTCGTTTTTTTTTTTCAAACCAGAGCCAAAGTATAACTTCACATGATGCTCCATATTCCTCAATGCAGGGAAGACAGTGCTTCTTCTTAGAATTGTCATAAAATACAACTTGTTTCTCGTAAATGTAGGACTTTATTCTTTTAATATAACTATATTATCGTAATTTTATGACTATCTCGTGATTTTTCTCCTAATATTACGACTTTATTGTTGTAATTTTACGACTTTATTCTCGTAATGCGACAACTTTATTCTCATAATTTTACGACGTTATTCTCGTAATAAGAATGTTATGACTTTATTCTTGTAATTTTATGACTATTCTCGTGGCAACTTTATTCTCGTAATTTTACGACTTTATTCTTGTAATGGTACGACTGTATTCTCGAAATAATACTCCATCATAGAAAAATAAACATGACTAAGATACAGTAATTTAAAGTGAGTTCATAAAACCAAGGTAGTAATCTTTAACATGACTGAGGGAGTTGTCAGTATTTATGCTCATAAGTCTGAACCTTTGGTGTTTAAAGGAAAAGTCCGGTTACATTCAGAATTTAAACTTCTGATAGTACATTAAAATGAAATGATTCCATACTGTTTAATAAATGATCGGTGTTTTTAATTCAGAGTAATTTTCATGTGAATGTGCTTTACTGGAAGCATCCATGTTTGTCAAAGAACACTACTGCCACCTACTGGTTTGTGACGTTACGGTGCGTAACGGCTGTTGATCAAGTCCCAGTGCTGTATCTGGTGTTTGTCACAACGCGCTATTATCCAAGTCATCTTGAAAACATTCTTCTTCCAAATGTTGGCTACATATTACGGGTTTTTTCTCTGGCCAGAAGTTCGATGGTAAATCCTCCCTCTTCAAGTTGGCAATCCAACGACCAACCCGTCCGTGGAGGATCAGGAATCAGAAAGGTGAAATAACTCTTTTTTCCACTTTTACCCGATATATTCCAACATCCAGCTGCCATGCACGTGGCATTGTCAGTTTTACTATAGCTCTGGTGAATTTCAATGGTGAAGTCCTCTGAAAATCTTCAATAATTGTTGTTGATTGCAGATGTGTCTAGTAGTTCCCATTGATTTTGCTTGTAAAGCGGGGAGAATGGCGCTAGGCTTACCGCACCGTGATGTCAGTGCTGGAAGATGGCAGGAGGGAGGGGTTACTATATTTGGGCAAAATGGCCGCTCCCAGACTCAGTGATCAGTGAAAATAATAATATTTTTTTTTTTTTATGATTAACGCCAAATTCATTAAATCAGCGCAAACATATTAGTTTTAGGTATACATAATGATCCATTGGTTATTCCTGCTTCCTGGACTTTTCCTTTAAAGGCTGAGTGTTGCTTAAATGTTTGGTTTTAACACTTGAAGAGATGCTGCCAAACAAAGTGCTTTGGTTTCTTGACAATGACAACGCTGCTTCTTCATTACTGCCTCTTTAAGTTTAGAGAGCAGAGTATCAGATTCTATAAAATGTTGCTGGTTTAAAGCCGCTGCTGTTACTGTAATTAAAGGGGAAGGTTTTTAAATGCGGCAAGGAGATAAATGAGACACACTTTACCAATGGAACAAGACCATTCAAAATAAGAAAAAACAACTGCCTGGTCTCATTTAAAGTGCACATTATCTAGTTATCCAATTTTAAGAATAAAAAATCTCATTCCATTTCCAAATGATCTGATTTTCCTACTAAAATTATATTTATATATATTTAAATATATAATATATAATATATAATATAAATATATTTAAAATATATTTAATTTAAGAAATGTTAACTTATTTTTAAACCGTTTTTGCTGTGTGCCATTAGCAGAAAAATTACTTTACACACTGCAAAAATGATCTAGAAATATAAAAATAAGTAAAAATCTCTTAAATTAAATGTATTAACCCTGAATTTGAATAGGTAAATGAGATGATTTTCAAATAGAATAAGTATTTTAAATCTTAAAATAATATGATTAGATAATTTGCAATTGAAATAAGACAATGCACTTTTTTAAGAGAAATTAAATCTGCAATAACTGACATTAAGACCTCGTCCCAGGTTTCTGATCATCTAAAAGCCAAAGTAATTACTTTTGGCATCATATGAAAACAGAGATCCACACTAATAAAGAACAGGGTCATATCTGCTGACTGCCGATTGAGGCTCCGCCCCTTTAAGCAGGGGTCAGAGTGTCCATCCTCCCTGACAGCAGTGTCAAAGAGTCTGGCTTCACTGGAACAGCACCCTAGTACTATTAGTGGGAGGGCTTAAAAATAGATTCCAGCTCTGCAGCAATACCCTTCAACAGCCCCAGGACAGATGGCTTATGTAACGCCGATCTCAGCTCCCTGGCAACCTCTCAAGGGGAGAGGTGAAGCGCCGCAGAGCATCTACTGTACGCCTGACACACTGCTGATGACATCACAGGTCAAAAACCATCTAGAAATAAGTCTAAATGTTAAATTAAGTGTATTTACCCTTAATTTGAGGAGGTAAATAAGATGATCTGCCAATAGAATGATTTTTACTCTTAAAATAAGAAAATTAGATAATATGCACTTGAAATAAGATGATGCAATTGTTTTTTTCTTATTTTAAATGTGAAAAGTCCTGTTCCAATGGCAAATGGTCTCACTTAAGTCCTCAATTCAAGAAAAATGCACTTATTTTAAGAAAAAATGACTTATCTAGATTTCGATTTTTTCAAGTGCAGCATCTTTCCATTATACTTTAAACAGATGTAAAAAAAGTGGCAGCTTGATGACTGTTACCAATTTTAACTCGTCCTCGCTCGGGGCCTTCTCCCATCACCAGGATGTTGGCTGGTTTCTGTGGAGGACAAGGAGAGCACACTATAAGCACAGTGGAGATGGGTTGGTGAAGAAGCTGGTTGCAGAAGGCAGGGTGAGATGGGAGGGGGTGGAGCCATGCTGGGGCTGCTTCCTCCGGCCAGTAACCCGGCATGACCGTGTCATTCAGACCGTTTAACGAGGGAGGCCCCGAACACTGACAGGGAAGGAGGTTAAACTCACAACCACACACCTGTGCTCCTCTAAGCTTTGATTAGAAACTAAACACACAAAAAATGAATCTCAGGGAGTCCATTGTTTTTGTTGCTTCGAAGACAGAAGGTTTCAGACGTGACTAAAGTTACATTTTGAAGTTATACCAAAAGATTTTTAAAAAAAATCAGATGGTGGAATCAGAGACACAATAACAAGCCAATGATCAGATTTTGACGTTTTTCTTTTAATCCATATTAGCTCAAACTAGTGGCTGGTTGGTTGGAAACTGAAAAGTCAAACCTTTTTCCCTGAACACTGAATGCATCATATCTGGAGCGAACAGCTCATGCTAACAGAAAATCCTTAGTTTGAAAGCTGTTTTAGAGGAAAGAAGATGAAGAGATGAGTTATCAAGATATCAGAGGAAGCTTTAAAACTGTATGAAGGAACTTAAAAAGAGAAAATATGTTTTAGAGATGCCTTTCTGCTGTAATCCACGCCCTTACCAACAGACAGATGGACTTCAGTCGTTTGGGTCTTTTGCCATTTTGAGAAGTTTCCTTGAATTGACCTTTTATCCAACTTCAGGAGATACTAGAAATACTGATCAGGTTCCAGCCGAGTGGATCCATCATCATTTTAACCTCTTCTACCAACATAAAAGCTTGATTTGGAAATTATGGCATAAAATTTGAACTGTTCTAGTTAAAGTAAGGTCTACCTTCTCTAAGATTCTAGCATTTATAACTATGATTTTTCCATAATTAGTTTTTCTAGATACTTTCTTCGATTTTCTTTTTTTTAATAGTTATTGATACTTCAGTAAAAATCATCTGTTTGGTTTTATTATCTGTAATTTAAAATAAATCAAGCAAAAAAAAAAAATGCCTAAAAGAACAAAGAATAGTATTTAAACATGTCTAAACACAGCAGTGAAATTAAGTTATGAATTCAAAACTTCAACTGCCTGAAGTTTAGTATTAAAAAGCTTAACAATAAAGATTAGAACATTTGACCAAACCTCATTTTGGTGTATACTGTAAAGAAAACAATGCAGTATGGTGTCTCTCATTTATTTATTTCTGCTTGGTGTTACCTTTCTTATACCTCATCCAACATACTTCAGCCGGGCGTACACTGTGCGATTTTGTTCAATCGTTGCACGCAGCTACATTTCACACTGTACAATGCAACCGTTAGGTTTAAAAGTTCACAGCTCACAATATATGTTCTTACACTTTGTGCCCCGGAGCTCTGATGCGATCTACCTGTACACACTGCACGTCTAAACGAGTAGAATAGGAATATGAAGCTCACTAGAGTGAAACATGCTGCCTTGGCAATTTTGTGCTGGAAGCCCTAATAAGAAAAGGCGACGACATATTTGGACAAAGACATGGCTGAGCAAACGTGGCTACTATGTTCTATCAATTTTACAGAAAGAACTCCATTTCATTCACACCCCCGCCATGCTTCTGTGTTTTTATCTAAGAGGAAAAAGAAGAAGAATCCTTGTTTGCCCACTGAACGATTTGCCCACGACCACCTTAAGACATGTTTTTATTTTCTCCCGACCACACGATTCCTGACCGGGAGGTGGTCGTGAGAGGCTGTTCACTACACCACGCACCATCAGGCTGAAAGTCGGGCCGATCGAAAATTTTTTGCACGACTGGAAAGTCAGCCCGAAAAGGCCAAAAAAAATCGCAGTCTATGCACGGCTTTAGGTTATCCTTAGCTATGTTCTGCATTTGTGCTACTATAGGCTTAGACTTCTGGAGGACATAGGGACCCCATTTCATCATTCTGCTTCATTCTATCTCTATTCTCCCAGTCTGCAGAATCTGTTAGTTCAATCTCTAACGTTCTGCTCTCTCTGCTTTTTCTCATAGTAGCTTCATCTAGTCTGTTCCTGTTTGGCTGTGACTCCATCCTGGAGAGAAATATCAGCTGTGCTGCTGCCATCAACACCTTTGTTTCTAGATGCTGGAGATTGGCCTGTTTTTCAGTGTAGTCCTGTTTCTCTGACTGTGACTAACTGGATGTGCTCTCTTCATCCTCTGACATGGGAGCTGGCTCAGAGCTCGTCTGCCTGGCTGTGTGTTTCCTGGACGGGGCCGCCTTTTACATTTGCTTTTTGTATCTCTGCTTCTGTCTCCTTGAACCCCAGTCGTCCTCAGCAGATGGCCGCTCACACTGAGCCTGGTTCTAATGGAGGTTTCTTCCTATTAAAATGGGGTTTTACTCTGCACTGTCGCTACATGCACGCTTAGTGTGGGGGATTGCTATCAAGTCAACGCATTGATTCAAGCAGGTGGTTTCCCTTAGAAAACTTTGAATCAATCTGACTGTATGATCCGGTCGTAACGTGCCTTGAGTTGACCTGTTGTGATTTGGCACTATAGAAATAAACTGAATTGAAGTGAGTTTTGTAAAGTGAGGTTCTTGAAATCAGACAAAACAAACATCATACCATTAAAAACAAAATGTTTGTTGAATTTAAGGAAACATCAAGTTGTTGTTTGTCAAACCCTAATAATAGGTTATAACCCGAATGATCAGTGACGTCTCAGTTTCTAATTGAGGAAAATTAAGGTAAACACTATTTCATTCTTAACAGTAACTTTCTAAAGGTCTAATTCTACATTTCATCAGTCAGCTCATAGCAAAGATGGCCTCACAGGCAATCAGAGATCACAAAAAATTCTTAAATAGAAAATAATGCAGACAGATCACCCTCAGCTCTATGATTTTAATGTTCTCAGCTGTCCTCTCGTGCAGAAAGACTCACTGTCTGCATCTGTTCTGACTCCCAGGATGCCTTGCACCTACATGAACCTCCCTGACTAGCCAGACACCGACCTGCCCAGCTAACATGCTTTGTTGCCATGGAGACCGCACTAATAAGTAGGCCTATTATTCACGTCTCCCAACATGACCTCCTGTGATCAAAAAAGAAAACACAAAGAGGAGCATCTCTGAGGAGAGTTGACAAGTTCTAGCTCAGCTCTTTAAAATTCAGGGAACGTCGTTGTTTTTCTCCATGTCTGTTGAAGAACTGTGAGGTGCAAAAATAAACACATAATCATCGGCCGTCCGTTTAAACAAACTACAAGTAAAAAATCAGGTGACTAAAAATAGGAACCAAAGCTGAGATTCCCTTCTGCATGTACACAGAGAGCGTCATCATTTCCAGATAGTTGGTTTCAGAAATGGATCAGGAGCTGAGGGAAAACCTTCTCTGTCCCTGCTGGGACACAGAAGCTCAGTCCAGACGGTCGTGGCCTCCTTTCACAGAAACTTCCACATCTTTGTCTTCACAAATAGGTCAACTAGGAGCCAGAAGCTTATTTACACAACTGAGAAACAGGAGCTCATAAAGCGTAGAAAGTGGCGCAAACACCTACATCAAAAACCAAAAGGCCGTGTAGTTAACTGCTCTTGCTATGAATGTTACACTGTTCACCTTAATTCAGTTCAATTCAGTTTATTTCTATAGCACCAATTCACAACACATGTCATCTCAAGGCACTTTCCAGTTCACCAGATCATCCAGTCAGATTGATTCAAAGTTTTCTATCTAAGGAAAACCAGTTGATTGGATCGACTCATTGACTCTTCAGCAATCCCTCACACTGAGCATACTTGTAGTGAAAGTGGAGAGGAAAAACTCCCTTTGCACAGGAAGAAACCTCCAGCAGAACCAGACTCAGTGTGAGCAGCCATCTGCTGAGGCCGACTGGGGTTCAAGGAGACAGAAGTAGAGATAGAAAAAGAAGCAGAGATACAAAAGGCAACCAGCTCCAGGCGGCCCCGTCCAGGAAACACACAGCCAGGCAGGTTGATGTTGGCATGGTAACCAGAAGAAAATACTTATACATTTTGGACCTGTCAGAATTTATGAAACAATCGCTTATATACTATATATTTCCCCCATAAAGTTGATAATTTTGCTCTGCACTACTCTAGATTCAATTGTTTTTGAAACATAAATAGTTCGACTGTTTACTACTAGTTGGCAACAGTGCTCATGTAACGTCCTTCTGTTGCTGCATCTTTGCACAGAAGCAAAACAGTGCTCTGGATGAACATGTTGAGCCACTGATGCCCAAACCTTTCACTATTTCATGTTCCCAGTGATAAAACAAAGGAGTTATTATGACAAAGTCAGCACAAAAAGACTCAGAATGATCAGAGAGCAGCTGTCTCACTGTGTGGTGTGGAGGCTGCAGCATCTCAGACTGGTAGAACGTGAGAAGAGTGGTGAGAACAGCAGAGAATCATCTGACATTTCATCCCAGCGCTGCATGTCCCGAGGCCCGTAACATCATCAATAACAGACCCCCACCATGGACTGTTCTCCCTGCTGCCCTCTGGGAAGAGGCTTCACAGCATTCAATGCAGGACCAGCAGATTCTGCAATAGCTTCTTCCCCACCGCCATCAGACTGCTGAACTGTTTAACCAAACGAAAATTATGCACCGTATATATTTAATGCTCTGAACTTCCATATAAATGCTTTTTCTTTTGCACAATTTCTTTTTCTCCCACACTGTTTACAGCTGATCACTGCTTCACTTTAAGAAATGGAAATGTCATGAAATCTGTACAAAATGAATTTCAAATAAAAGTTGTCTAAGTTAAATATATTTACAAAACGAACTCTTTTTATTGGGATTAATGTTGTTTAACAGGTTTAAGATTTAAGAGTAAACTCCATAAAAATGTTTATACAGTATGAGGATGTATAGAGATGTATCAATCCCATTTTGTATTTTATCCAATCGATACAATCCGTACGCTGAGCGTATTGGCTAATACTGA